TAATTAGAAATTAGATGATTCAGTACGGGCATTTAGTAGATATCAAAAAAATTATATAACACGAACTTGAATTCAAGAAAAAGAAATATTTGTTTTCCGAGGAAAGTTGTCCAATTATGTTAGTTTTAATGTATTAAATATGAAATTCATTTTTATATTTAATTGTTGATTTTATAATTACAATTACTTGTATTTCCAATAAATTTGAATTAATATAAATTATTTTAATATTAATATAGATCGCGCGTCGGTAAATGAATCGTAAAATCAACAATAGTTTCAATATTTATTGTTATAAAATGACAATAGCAACTTGCAATCCTGTTGATGGCAGTTTCACAAATGTTTACTTTTACTGAAACGTTATTGTTTAGTTTTTGCAGTATTATTTTGGGAAGTGTATTGAGATAATTTTCGGTAAATTAGATAAAAATTGTAATACATTTTATAATTTCACGATATTCGCGTTTCAATTTATGTACTCTACACTTAAACTATTATTTTTGTCATGATTACTTATATTTTGATATTTCATACTTTCTATTGAAGGTATATGCATATTTAGTTAAACTGTAATCTTTAGTATACTTACTCTTGATCAATAACTTAGAAGTCATAAGATTTTTTATTTATTCTCATATCTTAACATCAATCGAAACCTTACGTCCTATATTTATTTAGGAACTTTTATAGATAATTTTATAGATAATATAGACTTTTATAGATATTAAAATCCAATCGTATAAATTGAGCTATCAATCTGAGGCTCTTTTTGTGGCCTGGATAGAGTTCGGTCTGCCAACCATGTGGTTCCAATTTGAGATCCAAGTTCTTTGGACATCATCATGTCAAGAAGTAGTGACATCGGTTTTCACAAAAGTAGATGGAAATATATTTCTAACAATAGCATAGCATTTCCCAGTATTGCTGCATTAAATTATCCGCATATAATACAATATTGAATAGAGACAGGCCAACCGTTGGGTTACCCTCTAAAAGTTAAGAAGTGTCATCACAACAGCTTATAGGACTCATAATAATGATGGCTGTTCAATAGAGAAAACATTACTGATATCCCAAATCTCTGATAAAATAGAAATGTTACGGTAACGTTATGTTACGGGTCTATCTTCGTATAAATTGGAAGAAATGAACTGTCGAAATGCTATCTATTTGCTGTGTGCTAAGGCCTTTCACACATAAAACCTAACCTACAAAACGCATTAAGGTCCCACAACCATTTTAAGTGCATATTTCTGATGTTCCATTGATGTTTCAGTGAAGTTAAATTGTGTGTGTAAAATCCCTGATCGCACAGCAAATACAAAGCTTTTTGACAGTTTGTTACTGCCAATTCATAAGGAGATAAAATTCAAATAGTTTATTTAAGGCTTGTAGATCTTGAAATTCTTCTTATGGTAAAAAAATCCTTTAAATATTCGAAAGATTTTTAAATATAGAATCAAATGTGTAAAGATCATATTAGTGAAATCACATTTTTGCTATCTACCGGTTACCTTATTATATATGCACCTACATTTGTACGGATTTTGCATAATGATGTGCAGATTCAAAATCTCGCTAATTCAAATGATTTCAATATAAAACTCCCTGTTCGAATTAAGCTTATATAAGGTTGTCAAATATCTCCCTTCCGCCTTTTTGTATTATAAACCAAGAGCAAAGGGAGATATTTGACAACCTAATATATGCATTTGTAATAAAAATAAGCCACATTATACAAAACAAAAAATAATATTTGGAAAGTTCTACGGAAATGAATATTTGCACGGGCTTTTTTCAGAACGGCATGTGATAAGCTTGACTAAAATTATACTAACATACTGCAACTGTTATATATATTTTATAGCATGTGCATTTTTATACTTTTGATAAATAGGATTCGGCGATTTGTAGGTATCAAATTTGTTCATTATCTAAATTAATATTTTGGCATACCATATTCCAAGTTTAAAAAAAATTGTTCTTTGATAAATATTGTTTTATTGTTGATATTCAATACAAAAATAATTTGCGTTTACAGATTCTTTTCAGATTTATTATTCTGAATGATGAAATTATATGAAAAGCATTAATTAGTAACTTGTTTGATATGAATCTGTGCAGATACAAACATAAAATAAAAAAATTACAACTTATTTTGATCAATAAAAGTGAACCTAAAAGTTACTTGTAGGGGAGACTGGTACGGTAGTGATAATCGCCATCGAGTTTAGGGTCTAAAGGGAGAAAGATGAAGTATATTGGTTCGAACAAGTTTATATTATTCCATTAAGTCAGTTTACATAACACGATCTGTAGAACGCATTCCTTTTAAAGAATTAAAAAAAAGGTTTTTTTTTGTTCGATTTCTTTTATTAATAAATTGTTTCTTGTATACAGATAGATCCCTTTGTTTGTTATTTTGGTGTAAGTTGAACATTCTTTGTTAATTGCAAGCAATTAGTTTTTGTATAGATAATTTAGATCAGTAATAATGTTGATTTGTTTTGAAAATTGAGCGTTGGGTACGATTGTGACATGTATTACTTGTTCTTTTCGGGTGAAGATTAAACAGATAAAGAAAAATCTAACTTAACAAAAAAAATCCGAAAGAGAAAGGGAACGGAAAATTCAATACAAGAAAAAAAAAAACGGTTTGCTATTGCTTACTCTACTTTTCTAAACATTAATTGATTTTTATAATTAAATTACTCTTCCTATATTCCTGTAATAATATAAGTGATTTATTTTATTACCAATCTCTTTGCTGTTTTTCCAGACGAGTATACCTTAGTTTTGCTTTTTAGTTATTTTTAAATAAAATGGCACGGGTGATCTGCTGAAATAATAATCAACACTTGTTTAATAGTTTTAATTAACATATAAACATAATATCAAAAGACATAATTTCTTTTATTTTTATCTTATCTGTTTTCAGTAGATATATAGTATAGATATACTCTTACAAGGCCTTTATAAAACATTTGTTATTTAAATCAAAATAATCTAACTCACAGTACTACAATTTAATGATGGTTATAAAGCGTTAAAGCTCATTGGCCAATAGATAAAATACCCATTACTGACGATATAACTAGGCTAAATTATTCGGTCAAAATATCAGAGAAAATATCAGAGAAAATATCAGGAAGTGGCTTTTTATTTTCAACTATGTTTTCTTTTGTTCGCATTAATTTTTTTGTATTTATTGTATATTGATCATGAACACAATAAATAAATAGGTATGATACAATAATTTAATAAAAAGATTTTTTTTGCTTGCCACAAATACAACTACCCATACAAACACACACACACGCACACACACACACACACATATATATATATATATATATATATATATATATATATATATATTAGGGTAAGCCCATCTCGGGCACTGCGGTGTGAAATGGCAATGGGAAATCTCTCACACTATCTTCCCTGAATCGAGTTGGAGTTTTAACTCAGCTAACGGATTATTTATTTATTATTATATATTAAGGTGGTCCTTAATATGGACGTTTTCGAAGTTAATAGCTACCAGAGGCTTAAATGCTTCCAAATTCATAAAAAAATCTCTAAAAATTGTAGCTCTTAATATTAACTTTTAAATAGTGCGCAATTCAGTCAAAGCTTTGTATGGAAATGGCATGGAACAAATATCGAAAATTTTAAAAATGTTTTTTAGGTATAACTTAGCGACAAATAAATTAAAAGTGACAATTCGTGTCATTTTTTATTGAAAATTCGACGCTCTGCAAAACAGGTTTTTTATAATTTGTTTTGTAGAGCGTCGAATTTTGTATAAAACTCGTTCATTTGTTCGCTGAGTTATATCTAAAAAATTTTAATTTTTTTTAAAAATTTTCCATGCTATTTCCATACAAAAAACTTTGATTGAATTGCGCACTAACTAAGAGATAATATTAAGAGCTGAAACTTATAGAGGACTTTTTTTATCAATATAAAAAAAATAAAAAACTACCACATATTATATTATATTATATCATTGTATGTAAATTTCCCATAAATGCGAAATTATAGTTAAATGTTTGAAATCTTAGTTTTACTTTCGATAATAAATATGCATAATCTTATTATTTTCATATAGCGTTGTGCGATCAATGGCAAATCAATCAAAAATGACAAAAGTAGTTGTCTCTATAACACTAGCATCGAAACAAAAATAAATAATAATAAATTATTAAAATAAATTTTATTCATATGCACATTAATTATAAAGGATTATGATGTTCGTTAATACAAGTCTACCGACAGTAGGAAGGGCAATTAACTTTACTCACCTTTCTTCAACTGAAGAATATGAATTTTATATATTTTTTACAACAAAGTTTTGAGAGTATTTTATCAAATATTAAACGACGTAGATCAGATAAGAGCTGTATTTACAATGTCGTATATAATTGTGTTTTTTAGTTATTGTTACTTGCGTCACATGTTTTAAGATATGTAGCACATTCGGTCATAAACTATTCTCAGGAAAATATTCATGATATGGAAAGATTAGTGCGAATGCTCGTATTTGAAATGAAATATATTGTTGTAAATTGTTATTGTTGATACGTGTTGATTGAATATAATGTAGAAGGATATATTTCGAGTGTTGATTTGTTGTTCTTGTATTATTATATGTGACATTTATACGATAGTAAAAATACACAATGGATGTTAATTCCTTCAGGCAAGAAGCAGAACGGTGTGGCTGTGCGAACGAATAGCCTGGGAGGCGTCGGTGTATGGCCCCCGCAGCTTGAACGCAAGAGCAAGCTGTCAGCCTTAGGAAAACTCTTCAAGCCATGGAAATGGAAACGAAAGAAAAAGTCCGACAAATTCGAGGCGGCTTCCAAATGTAAGTAAATTAATTATTATTTATAAAAAAACATTGTGCAAAAGGAAGACAGATACTACGAATAGCAATAGAAAAACAAATACTAAATAATGAAAATTATTTTTAACCACTTAAGCATCTCGAACGAGACCCTCTCACGCGCCTAATGTGTTCCGATTTACTCTCGCCCGAGACCCTCTCGCCACATACAAATATTCTGTTTTCATTTCGAACGAGACAGTCTCGCTTAAGAATTATTTTGATTTTTGCTATTACGAGTACATCTCGTAAAATTTTTATCTAAAGCGACAATTTTTAGCCTTTTTGATTCTATATCTATGAATGTGAACATAACAATGCTTTTTATAGTCTATGGTCTATATAATAGGTTGTCAAATATCTCCATTCCGCCTTTTTGTATTATAAACCAAGAGCAAAAAAGCGGAAGGGAGATATTTGACAACCTTATTTAACGAATTGTTGAATAGATTATTATTTTATATTGTACTTGTTAGTGGATATATTTATTATATAATTGTTCAAACGTACGATTTGATAACGTTTGCGATTTTATAACAAAAATATTAGAATTTTTAATTTCTTTAAAAAATATGTTCTTTTGATTTTTATGTTGCTTGACTTAATATTATGATTACTACAATATTAATACGTCAATTAAAAACAAAAAAAAACTGCTTATTTTTTGACCTCACTTCACAAAAAAACCCTAGCATTAAGTGGTTAATTTAAAAAAAGTTGTGAAAAAGGAAGACGAATACTGTGAATTGAAACATATTTTTTCCTTATTCATAGCTTGTTATTAAAATTCTTGGTAGGATTGTATTAGTAGTATTATGGGGTGAGCCTACTTTAGAGGCTTAAAAACCGATTTTTTTGCATTTTTTTCCAAAAGTAGCCAAGAATATATCTCTAAAATTTCAGAAACAAATTCAAATTATTTCCGGAGTTCCAAAAGAAATAGTGAGCAAACGTAGAGCATGTACACGAGCGATTCGTTCTCGATTTTTTCGATTTTACCTAATTGGCGGGAAAGATAGGAAAAAAAATGAACATCCTATTGAAACGAGACAAAATTGATTGTATTCAGGATTAAATTCTCTTTTTAAAGTTTCTTTTTCTTAATTTTAAATTAAATAAACTTTAAAAAAAAGTTATGATTAACCCACTTTTTGAACAATCGTGAACAAGTGATTTTTTTTACCAAAAAACATGATTTTTTTTAAGTTGCGACAAATTGGTGAATTTCTCACGTTTTTCTGAATTTTTTAGGTCTAACAAGAATCTATACTATAGAAAACATAAATTAAAATAAATAAATTAAAAATAAATAAATTTTATAAATTGGTTTTATTTTTTTTTTGTTTCGGATGGAAATTGTGACTCCCGCCAAATGACACCTGCAAGCTCATGCCGCATCGGCCAAATGCTTGTACCCGGCATATTAGAAGAATGTTGAAATATATAACAATAAAACTTGAAAGTTTCGTTTCAATTAAATATTTATTTCCTTTCCTAAAAGTTCTTCAAAAACGCGATTTTTTTACTATATTTTTAATGTCAAAACCAGGACGGCAATTTGCGGATATGCTAATCCGGGATGGGACGGGGGGGGCTTAATGTCTACTAAATGATTTAAACATGATTTAACAAAACAGGTACTATTGAAGAAAACAATAAAATCAGTTTTTTTTTTAATTAATCGATTTTTTCTAATCAGAAATTCTTCAATCTGTATGTTTCTGTCATTAAGTTCGTTTTCATAATTTTCGTTAATTTGAAAATGAATGTTTGAAATTATTATTAATGTGATTCTATTCATAACGTATAGTTTTATATAAGCATACTCATTGTATATATTTGATGGGTAATTGTAATTGTAATTTTTTTTATCAAGTAGGAGCAAAAATTTAATTTAAACTTACACTTTTCGAAAACACGGGACAAGGTGAAAATCTGGGACTGTCGCGGCCAAACCGTATGGTCATCTTAGTATAATGATAAGTTTGTATTCTTATTTAAAATCTTATTCTATTGAATAATCACATTTAAACTAAAACGCCTTTTATCAGGCACGAATCCAGATATTTTCTTTTTTTTTTGGTAAAAATTTCTACGCGTTTCGAATTCCCTTTTGACTCTTCTTCAGTTGATAAAATTGTTTTAAAAACATAATTTAGTTTTTGATTTAAATATGTGGATGGATACCAGCTGAAAAGCTTTCTTATTTCAATTTTATTACAACTTTTAATAAACATTAAGCAAGAGTGTGATTTATAGTTTAAAAAAATATAAAAAATAAATCATGATATTTATACTTGCACAGAATCCGTATGATAATTATTCAAACGCCAAAAATGAGAAAAATAAAAGTATTAAATAAAAAAACATAATCAAAATAATAAAAAGATAATATATATGAAAAATACCAATTTCTTGTTGGTAAAGTAAAATGGTTTCTTATTGGTAAAATGAATCCAATATTATTATATTGGTAAAAATGATAAATTTTAACTATTTATGCTTCTATTGGGACTGGTAGATGAGCCTAAAAACTTTTCCGCGACATTTGGGAAGATTATAAATTATTTTACTTGTAATACTTATTTTTAGATATATGTACTATCATCATGTTACTCTTGTCTTGTTAGTCTTGAGCCCAGTTAGGAACCTACCTAGATAGGTTTAGTGTTTGGCTTAGGATTCGTTTTATTAGCGCTGAATGAACTGAATATGTACTGAATTTCATATATCCAAACTGGTGGACAACTTAATCAATAACAGTTTTTCAACAATTCATGAATTTGTTTTTTCTCCATCACTTTAAAGTTAATTCTATGGTGCATCATTTCTGGTACGAATAGTAAATGATTGACTTGTCAGCATTGGTCACAATCTTTCATAATAAAACTTTTCAGGTTTGTTCTAGTGTTGAAGAAGTTGAGAATGTTATTAAAAGATTGTCGAATCTTGATTTATCAAATGAAGAAATAATCAAGAAATTTCTTTTGTGTAGATTAGGGTTGGTGAAAGGGCACTTTTTTATGTACTCTAGAAAGAACTTCCATATTGATGGTCTTCACGTCAATTAGGCTTACATACAATACTCCATTTTCTAGATCAGATTTAACTATTAAAATAGTGGCTAGAAATAAAAACTATGTTGATCTCCATTTTATTTTATATTTTGATAGTTATTTTATAGTTATGTCCTAGAAGACAGTTAAACAGGAAAAACGAGCTAGTGATTTGGCATTAAATTTTGACTTTAATGCGTTTGATTGGCAATCTCAAAAATGCTAGTTAATTGGTCTGTAGGGAGGATAATAATCGCAAATATTTTACAGATTTGGATTTAAGTATTAATGTGTGTAGGTTGATTTGAAAATATATGAATGCAACAAAATATAAATGCAACAAAATATAAATGCATGTGCTCAAATATATAACTCGGAAAATACCATAAAAACGATCTGTTAATAATGATTATTTGTCCTTACAACTTTTTCAATCATTATTGCGAATGCTAAGCGGGTTATAAATTGCAAATCGTGGTAATTGAGTCGGAAAGGAAATTTTGCGATTTATGGTAAAAGAATATTTTTCCCTTCAAATCTGCCGTTGACGATGGCAGCTCCAATAAAATTTGCTCCTGATTTTTTTCTAACTAATCGCATGCCATTGCATAGCATTCGTGCATTCAAACACCCAAGAAAAGAGATTCTTGAACAAAATTTTAATTGCAAGTTATATGGTGGCATTCCAGGTGTATGCAGTGAATTCAAGAATTCAGCAGGATAGTTCACAAAATCTACGGGATCGACAACCGTGTCGATCGATTTCAATGATATTTGATTGCCAGGTAATGACTGTTGTATCTTGAATTTTTTACGTCGATCTCTATATATTTAACAGACGAAATAGCTCGTTCACGTAGCCACGCATGATTAGTATAATTAGCTCGTACATCTGGAAAATATACATTCAATCAAAGCATCTCTGGTTGGGTACAATAGGTGATTGTCTGGAAAATCGGATAAATTGTGCATTTTTATATAATTTTTCTGATGTCATTATTGAGTAATTGTTTAGAGAATACCAACGAATGGAATTGATCATTGTAACGTTGAACACGCTTATTTATCGTAAGACGTTATTTATCGACACTTTGCGTTAGATTGAAAAACCATTACAATTGTAGTTTTTCATAAAATTTAAATAATGTTTTGACACTTTTAGGCGTACAGTATGCGATATTATAAAAGCGTCGGAAACATCCATTTTGCAATAATTGATTACATCAAGGTTTTAATTTTATTATAATTGGAAAGTTATCTCGGTACTTGTTTGTTTAATTTACCTAATTTGAAGTATCACAGTAGCCATGTGCCGTGCCCTAAGACAAACTTACTTTATGTTTAGTTATTCTTTATAATCTTAAACTACTTTTTAACAATCTAGTTAATTTTTAAAACTGTTTGAATTGATTACGATACGTTTGAAAATAATTAAATGCATAATAGCGCGCAAAAGTTAAAATTTGATAGAAAAATTGCATCTGGATCAATCTGTCTTAGTTATTAAATTCGCTCATTTGTCTTTACGAATATTGGCCTGCCTCCTGTGGTGGACTATCTAAACAGAATCATGAAATACTGATGCACAATCGAAAAAAAATGTAGCTTTCATAGTTTTCAGTATCAAGATTATACCCAAGTAAACTAAATCTTACGATTTTGTGCTTTTTAATTTAAATTGCTGACGTTGGTATATAAACGGGAGCATGCGTTTTCTGAGTGTGTTTGGATATTTTGAAGATACTTATTTGAGTTTGGTCTAATCAAATTAACCTGATTATATTAAATTTAATGCAACTACAAAACACCTAAACTTAAATGCATCGAAAATTTTATCTGCATCTCATGATTAATATTATATTACTAAAGGATGAGTATTTTTTGCAATCGGTTCTAAAATATGATTATTTCGATAATTGACTAAAA